TTCAAAGTGGAGACCAGTTGTAAGGAGTATAAGAAGGCCTTCTGTCAGGTGTGGACCGACAATATGAAGACCACTTCAGAGCCGAAGATCTTCCCCGCCGTCGGCGAAGACTACACCCGAATCACGTTCTCTCCCGACCTCTCGAAGTTCAAAATGGATTCACTCGACAAAGACATTGTGTCCCTCTTCTCGCGTCGGGCGTACGACTGCGCCGGCGCTGCCAAAGGGGTCAAAGTATTCCTCAACGGCTCACGTATTCATGTGAACGGTTTCAAGGATTACGTCGAGCTCTTCGTCAAAGGCAAAGAGGATGATTCGGGGGAACAGCTGAAGACCGCTTACGAAGTGGTGAACGAGCGGTGGGAGATCGCGGCCACCGTCAGCGACAAAGGCTTCCAACAGGTCTCGTTCGTCAACTCCATAGCGACCACTCGCGGCGGTAAACACGTTGACTACATCGCCGACCAAATTGTGACCAAAATGGTGGACATAATCAAGAAGAAGAACAAAGCGGGCGTTAATGTGAAGCCCTTCCAGATTAAGAACCATTTGTGGATTTTTGTCAACTGTTTGATCGAAAACCCGACGTTCGACTCACAGACCAAAGAGACAATGACTCTGCAGTCGAAGAATTTTGGCTCGAAATGCGTTCCGAGCGATAAGTTCTTCGCGTCGGTGACGAAGAACGGAGCGGTGGATGCAGTGATGTCTTGGGTTCGGTTCAAAGCGCAGACCGAACTGTCCAAACAGTGCAACTCTAAGAAACAGTCAAAACTGAAGGGCATTCCCAAACTGGAGGACGCGAACGACGCCGGAACCAAACACTCCATCGACTGTACACTCATTCTCACTGAAGGAGATTCGGCCAAATCGCTGGTCGTGGCCGGACTCGGGGTCATCGGTCGCGATAAGTACGGTGTGTTCCCATTGAGGGGTAAGATGTTGAACGTACGCGAGGCCACCCATAAGCAGATCCTCGAGAACGCGGAGATCAACAATTTGATCAAAATTCTGGGCCTTCAGTACAAGAAACAGTACTCCACCGCCGATGACCTCAAGACACTCCGTTACGGCCGACTCATGATAATGACAGATCAGGATCAGGACGGGTCCCACATCAAGGGTCTGCTCATTAACTTCGTTCACCACAATTGGCCCAAACTCTTGGAGTTGAACTTCTTGGAGGAGTTCATCACTCCGATCGTGAAAGTGTCCAAAGGGACGGTCGGGAAGTCGTTCTACAGTTTGCCAGAGTTCGAGGAGTGGAAGGCGGCCACAGATAACTGGAATAAATACAAGATAAAGTACTACAAGGGTATGACATTCGGAACCACTTGATTGCCATACCAATTGGTGATAATTTGGTAGCAGTTTTACTAACCCGGTCATCTCTTGATCCACTCGGCTATAGGTTTGGGTACTTCGACGTCAAACGAGGCGAAGGAGTACTTCTCGGACATGAGAAGACATCGAATCACATTCAAATACACGGGCGCTGAGGACGACAACGCCGTGATGTTGGCCTTTAGTAAGAAAATGATAGAACAGCGCAAAGACTGGTTGACCGCAAACATGGAGGAGCGGAAGCGGCGCCGCGAACTCGGTTTAGGCGAAGCCTATCTCTACGAACACAATACGCGAAGCATTTCCTACAAAGACTTTGTGAACAAAGAGTTGGTTTTGTTCAGTAATATGGATAACGTTCGGTCCATACCGTCGCTGATGGACGGCCTGAAGCCCGGCCAACGCAAAGTGATATTCACGTGTTTCCTGCGTAACGACAAGCGGGAGGTGAAAGTGGCCCAATTGGCGGGCAGTGTGGGCGAGAAGTCGGCCTACCATCACGGCGAGGTGTCGCTCATGTCCACAATCATCAATTTGGCCCACAATTTTGTGGGCAGTAATAACATAAATCTGTTGCAACCGATCGGTCAGTTCGGCACCCGTTTGCAGGGCGGCAAAGACGCGGCCAGTCCTCGATATATCTTCACAATGCTGTCGCCGCTCACCCGCAAGATATTCCCCGAACTCGACGACCCGTTGCTTAACAAACAGTTTGACGACAACACGAATATCGAACCCGAATACTATGCGCCCATTTTGCCAATGGTTTTGGTCAATGGGGCGGAGGGTATCGGCACCGGATGGTCGACAAAGATCCCTAACTATAACCCGCGAGAGATTGTCGAGAATTTGCGGCGAATGATTAAAGGCGAAGAGCCAGTGGTGATGACTCCGTGGTATAAGGGTTTCCGCGGCTCTATTGTCGAAGTGGACGCCCAGAAGTTTGTGGTGAACGGAGAGGTGGCCCGACTCGACGGCTCCACATTCGAGATCACAGAACTGCCCGTCAAAACGTGGACTCAGAGCTACAAAGAGAATACGCTGGAAGTGCTTCTTCACGGCACCGATAAGTCGCCGGCGTTTATCAACGAATACAAGGAATACCACACGGAGTCGACCGTACGCTTCGTTGTGGACCTATCGGAGGCCAATCTTCGCAAATCACTGGACGGCGGTATTCACAAGACATTCAAATTGCAGTCATCGCTGTCCACCACATCGATGGTACTGTTCGACCACTTGGGTTGCCTCCGACGGTACGAGACGCCCGACCAGATCCTGAAGGAGTACTTCCCGATACGGCTCGAGCTGTACGTGAAGAGGAAGGTCTACTATGAGGGCAAACTGGAAGCCGAGGCCCTGAAGCTCGAGAATATGGCGAAGTTTATAGAGGAGAAGAATGACGGGAAGATTAAGATGGAAAACATTAAGAAAAATGATTTCGTCCGACAACTGATCGAACGCCACTACGACTCGGATCCGGTGAAGGCGTGGATGAAGGCTAACGGCGTCGAGAAGAAGAAAAAGCAGAAGGACAACGATGGCGATGAAGGCAGTGGTGGCGAAGAGTCTGACGCCGAAGAGCCGACGGCCGCCGATGACGGCAAGAGTTATGATTTTAATTATCTGTTTGACATGAAGATGAGAGCTATGCTTAGAGAAAAGGTCGTTAAGTTGCTTAAGGATAGGGATGACAAGAAGCTCGAGTTGGAAGCGTTGAGACAGAAAACGCCGGCACAGCTCTGGGAGGACGACCTCCGGGCGTTCGGCGAAGAGTTGGATTCGGTGGAAGAGCAGGAACGCGAGGCCGGCTCTAAGCC